AAAGAAAAGAAAAGAAAAGAAAAGAAAAGAAAAGAAAAGAAAAGAAAAGAAAAGAAAAGAAAAGAAAAGAAAAGTAAAGAAAAGAAAAGAAAAAGGAAAGAAGAGAAAAGAAAAGAGAAGCCCCTTTGAAAGCCTTAAACCTGCCTCTTTATCTCCCTAATCTGTATTTCCCCCCCCAAGCCTCTTTCTGTACAGGATGAAAGCAGATTTCTCCTCTTTATTTTCGTTTTCTGTGTCCTTTAGGAAGGCATTTGCTCGAGACTAATTGAATTTTCTGCCCGTGAAGAGAAAGACACGACACAGAGTGAGTTAAAGTCCGACACCAGGACAGGGCGCAGGAGCCGTGTTAACTGGTGTGGGGGACAGCCCCTCACTTAACAAAAGTGTTTAATTCTGTCCCCTCTTGTTAAGAAGGGGCGGAAGGAGGGGATATTTATTCTGTTCTTTTCTCAAGGTTTTTCCTTTCGGGTCACAAAGTGCCCCCCACGCTCCCGGCCCCCCTTCTCTCCCTGCTTTTGTGGCAGCAGCAGCTGGTGGGTTGCAAAGGGGACAGGCTTTGTCTTTTGACACACTTGAACATTTCTGCACAGAGCTGGGGAAACCTTTCCCTTCCCACCTCTCGCCTTTACGGGCAAGGAGGAGGGAGCAAGGGGCAAGTGGTGGAGGAGTTATGACTGAGGGGATAAAATGGCACAATGGGTTGTGGAGCCACAGTGGACAAGGGATCAGGGCTGGGCTGTGCAGGGTTGTGGTGAGCAGATGGTGATGGGCACGGGGGAGGGGGTGGGACGGCCCTGAATGCAGGGGAAGCTTGTGTCGAGCAACCTGTTGAAGGGAGAGGGGAAGAAAGCAATGCAAGAGGCTGCAATCCCATAAAGGAGGGTGCAGTGGCTGCCTCTTCCCAAATCCAACAAAGGAACCTCTTCTGTCCCTTTGTTGCCCTCCCAGAGACGAGTCCCAGTTAATCTTCTGGCCATGACACGTGGAGGATTCGCTTGGTTTGTTCTACAAGTCCGTAAAACCAGCTCCTCTTTATGCACCCTTGAGTCCTCCACAAAGGTTGTGCAGACCCTTTGGTCCCTCCATGAAGGCTGTGCAAATCCTTCAGTCCCTCCATGAAGGCTGTGCAAACCCTTTGGCCTCTCCACACCTCCCCCAGGGATGGGACAGTACAGCTGATCCCCAGGAACTGGTGAGATACAGTCGTGTTTGACAGCAGGACTTGAGGAATGTCATCATGCAAACCAGTGACAGTGACTTGGGACTGGAATGAGAGCAGGTTCCTTGTAGGCATGAGCAAGAAATTGGGGCTTGACCCCTGAGCCGACCCCACAGCAGTTGGTATAACCTGCCTTCATCCACCCTGTACATATGGGTTTGCAGGCTGGGAATGGCCCCAGCACCTTCTCTGTCCTGGGCAAAATTAAAAGTAGAAAGATAAAAACCAGCTTAAATTAGGAAAGTAAAAGCCATCTCTCTCATGATCTTACAGCTTGATTTGAAAACTAAATCCCTCCACCCTTCCTAATGACCAAACACCTCATATGAGACCCTCAGCCCTGTCCCTGGGACAACACCACGTCTTTATCCTGCAGTGAAAACCAAGCCCTCACAGCCTAATTGCTATTACTGGATGTTCACCTACAGCAATACCCAACAGCCTGCACTGGGAGAGGCACGTGTGGACACTGAAGGATAAGCCTCCCAAATTGCAGCCAGTGGCCTGATTAAAGCCTGTCCAGCTCTGCCTTGTACCAGTGCAAGCTGGCACCTTCAGTGTGTGGACACTGGGGCAAAACCAGTTATGAGGTGAGTGACAACAGAGATGTGAATTTTAACCTTTGTGCGGCACCGGACAGACACACGAGGCTTTGGGAAATGCCTGTTTCCGCAGGAGCTTCCAGGAGAGTCCTCATGAATGGAAAATAAATAGATACATTCATTATCCAAATTGTCTTATTTTTGTGGTGCCTCTTGAGTAAACCCACTTCTGAGGCCGTCCTAATTGCTTTGCAATAGAGCAGAGATAAATATTTATCAAACAGCTGCATCAGGAAACCACAGTTCAGAGAATCAGTATCGGGCGATGTGTCTCAGGAAGGATGAGTCTGAGTGGTTTTAAGCTTGCTGACCTGTCAGGCTTCCTCCCTTGCACGAGGCAGAGCTTCACCCAAGCCCAGACCCATGTGGCATCACACCAGTCCCATACCATCACTCGGAAGTGGTCACACAGAGCCTTTGGAGGACTTTTCTCCATGCTGGAGACCCCCCATTGCCCGTCTCATTGACCTCTTTTTTTTCTGACACCTTTTCTTCCTCTGACTTCATGGCCTCTCTTGCTTTCTATTAAAAACCCCAGAAATGTGGCCTCTATTCCTCTGGGAGCCCCAGTGCTAAAAGAGGCCCACATGCAAATATTTAGCCGCACTAATATTAGCCCAGAAACATCCAACCAGATGGCAACGTTTCTAGGTCTCACTGTGCAAAACTGGCTCTCCAGAACAAAACAGGCTGTGACAGAGCTCTGTGATCACCTGCCACTCCCTGAAATCCCAGACCACTGCACTGAGCCAGCCAGGCACATGGGACAAGGGCTTTCTAGCATCTTGCACATGAGGGACATCCCCTCAGCTGGTGGTGTTTCATCTAAAAAGAGAGGAAATGACAACCAAATTTTGAGGCTCAGTGTGTCAGACAAGAGGGTTGGCTTGCATGACTTTACAGCAAGGGTGTGCAGGTCTCTTGCTCCGGGTGTGCCTGATCCCTCAGTAGAGAGGTGGCATTTTGCATTGGCCGCAATCCCCGTGTGCCGTCCATAGCTGGGGAGAGCAAAAACTCCTCTGTGATTGTTAACATCTGCATTAAGCAGCAAAGAAAAGCAGAATTTCCTCTGCTGCGGAATTTGTGCCCATCCTTTAAAAAACTTATCCTCCCAGGAGTGCCCTCCCAAGCTGGAAATGCCCAAAGAGATGATTGCAATGCTGAGCACAAGCCAGCTGAAGTGCCGGTCTAGCCCTCGGATGGATGACGTTCCTGTTTAATTGGGAGCGGGTGTTCTTTGACTCATGCAAAGGGCATGCTATTTTTATAATGAGCTGATTCCAGATCACAGCCTCCTTATGTTAGGCTCTGCACATACATCTAATGAAAGCCAGGTCCTGCCTAGAAGTCCATACAATGGGCAGAGAGCTGGGAAGAGCGCTCTGAAGCATCTCACCCAGGGGCTTTGGGAGGTTGCCCGCCAGGGTCTGTTTTTTCCATCCTCACTCATGTCAGAGAAGTTAAATATTTACTGAAGCTATTAAATATTTATGCTAAGCTGCTCCTCCCGTGGGGAGGCATCCTATGGCTGGCTCCTGGGGGTCTGTGGCCAACTCACTCACGTGTCTGTGCTAAGCTCAGCTCTGCTCCAGAGTGCAAACACATGGGGACTTCACAGGACTACCATGTCCTGTAGGGCAGGGAAGGCTCTGGTTTTGGCAATAAATAATACTATTAGATGATGGACTTGGTGGTTCTCTGAGTGCCTTCCTTAAGGATAAAATCCCTCAAGAAGGTGTAGGTTGCTCTTTGCTGTCCTTACCCCCATGGTTTGCAATACCACCTCATCTCTGGTGTGTGGGAAGCTGCTCAAGAACATCCAGCCTGACCCATCTCCAGCTCCCTTCATTCTCCCAGCAGCTCATCAGCACTTCCAGGAAAGCATCAGGACTTGAGGCAGAGAGTCCCTATTCAATAGCATCCAAGGGGAACCATGGTCAACATGGTAAGAGCAGGAAATGTGGTGGCAGTGCCAACCCTTGCTGCTCTGCAAAGCACAAGCCAAATGGGAGAAGCCCCATCCCATCCCTGGGGAGCCAGCACCAGCCCTGGGACAAGCTCCCCACTCCCACCCGGGCTGAGTGGGTTAAATATGCTGTGACTCCTCACTGGAACAGGGCCAGAGGAAAAAGGCTCCACCACTTCCCGGTCTGCCTGGAAAACAGGCCAGCTGTTTTCTCCAGCGGCTGAAATGTGTTTATTCTGGGCCATATTCAACAGTGTGTTGTACCCCCTAACCCTGATCTCCAGCCTATGGTGAGGCTGGAGAGCACAACTTGCCAGGAGGAGCTGGGCACTCTGCCCACCTGGTGTGACCCCTCCTCGGGCGCCACTCTGCCCTTTCTGTCCCCATCCCTTTCCTTTCCTGATCCTGCTCCAAGCAGGGCTGGGGACGCCCTTTCCTGCCTGGCACCCGGCTGGCCCGACAGCAGAGACGGTGCCGCCAAGCACCACTACACCGTTTCCCCTTCACAATCCTGGCCAAAGCCCCACCACGTTATCACCCTCTCTGCTGCACTATCAACCTGAAAAACGTGCCTGGGAAAGAAAGACTAAAGAAAGGAAAAAGAAAGAAAGAAAGTAACCAGCCTTCGGCTCGAGCGTGCCAAAGGCAGCGACAGCGCGCGCGGGCTTGGCTCACTTTCTCGCCAGCTCTTTTCCCAGCAGAGCGATAAGAGGCTGGGCGAGTACAATCACAAGCAGAGCAGGTCCCAGAGGCTCAACCAGCTCTGGGCTGGGATGGCCAAGGGACATTGAGTGCTCCGCAGGGACATATTTCCAAAATAAAGTCATTCTGGTGCTCCTCCAGCCCCACCAGCCACCCAACAGCTCGCTGCAAAGCATCGCTGCCGCCCCCACAGCCAAAATAAAGCTGTGAGGAGCCCTGACCCAGCAGAGGCAAGTTTGAGTGCTCCCCAGGCAGCCCCTTCCTCCAGCAGCAGCAGTTCTCAGTGCGAAGAGCAGCACGTGGGTTTGGCCGGATGCACACGCAGCCCCTTCAGCCTTCCCAGCTTGGCCCTCTGCCCTCTCTCCTCTCCCTCCCATCCTCTCCATCTCCCATTAATCCCCCAGTATTGCTGCCTTCTTTGCCAGGTATACCCACACACATGCTTGCTGTAAACTCAGCTCTGCTCATCCTGAACACAGGATGGATGTTTGGAGCCCAAAACGCAGATGACGTCGTAGAAGGGCAGCTGGGAGGACCAATGTGAGCCTGGTCCTCAGCTCACAGAGCTACACTGTGTACCCAGCCTGCTGGAAGAGGAGTTCTGTGGGCTTTGGTCACTGCAGGACACTTTTGAGCACACATGCTGTGGATGTGAGACACCCGTTTTTCCGGGAGAGGGGTCCCAGAGGAATTTGATAGTGGAAATTAAGGCTGGGAGAGGTTTGAAGTCATCCCAGGAGATGGAGTCATGAGACCCAGACACGGAGCCTTCAGAGTCCCATTTGTTCATCTCAACCTGTCCAGAACCCCCTCTACTCCAGCCCCACAACCAAGTTACAAAGCCCTTCTCCATTTCTCAGCAGTTCCACAACTAATCCCCTCCATCTTCACACACATGGGCAAAGAGCAAACCCTGTCCACGTGCTTGCCCATGGGACCCCACTCATTTAACACCAGCCTAGAGGTCCTGGAAGTGGATCAAATCCTGAGACCATCATCCACCCCATGCAATGGTGGAGGTGATGGCTCTGCCCAGAAAATTACAGCCCCAGCCCTGAGCTCCTCATGGAACAGCATGTGAAATCCAGAGGCCCCACAGGGCCTGCCCCCCTCAGTCTCCAGCACAACCTGGAAATGTCACAGCGTGCAGCTGGCACACTCAGGTCACCCTGACCGCCGTCCCCAGCCCT